CACAAATCAATGAACTTATTAGGACTGCATACTGACGCTGAGCTTAAATAAGAGTAGCAACAGCTTCAGAAAGATTCAGTATACTTTACATCAGGAAGACTGTACTTTAGACTTGGACATATTCTTTGTAAATGTCTGACAAGCTTCTAATTCCATTTTCTTCACGACCTGTAAATATACATAAATATATGATGTCATCTTGAGGACCATTGGTAAAATAGTGGTGCTTTTCGACACTAAATCACAAAATAAGTAATTTCCCAGTCAGGTGTTCAAATGGCCTCAGTGCTTTCCATCTGCTTAATACTTTAGAAGATTTCAGAGCCAAATAAGTCATCTTTTTTTGTATTCTGTTGCGCTGGTCGTCCAAAACATTCCTGAGACCATTTCAACTTACTCTTAAACCGTAATAAAACACTGGGTCATTGAGTTTTGCACTGCATGCGTTCTATGGGGGTCATTAGATACATCAACCATGTGCGTCAAACAGTAAAAAACCTGGACGTAAAAAAACATAAATCTTTGAGGAATTTCAAACAGTGTAGGTTTATTTTTAAGGATACATTAATATCCCATTCAACCATGTCATTGAAATAGACATAAGGATAAGGTTTTTCCTCAGGTAGCATCCCTTCCTGTGTTTTAGTTTGTTAATCTTACTATCTCTAGCCTTCTTCTACTTTCAGTAGTCCTGGGTCAGCCTGTTCCTCACCCAAACAAATAATTGGGAAGCCAAAATCACACTGGGGCCTTTGGGATATCAGACAGTCTTATAAACAAAATCAAATGCCAACTTGTGCCTGAACTCCTTGCTGCTATTTGGTAGTCATGACGATTCATTACTTGCTTTGAAACCTACAGAGAAATGTCTTGATCCTAATCTCCTCGTGTGGCTAAAAACCTAAATTACTATTGGATTTGTGTTCATTTAAGATGGCTTTTTCTCATTATAAGCGTTAAGGGGTAAAAGCTATTGGGATTCATATTGCTGAGCACTGAAAGAAGTTAACTATAGCAGTACAGAAGTGTCCTTCCGTACCCTTCCCTGCTTCCTTTTCCTGCAACTTTATTCCGCAGCAAATTCCCCCACCAGCCTTATAAATGAAAGTAAGCATCTTGTAGCTGTCTGCTCCCATTTAACGCTGCATCCCCACTGTTTCTGGATCCCTTGAAGATTTGAGCGTTCGCTTATAGCTTGAAGGTCTCAGGAGTTCATGTGTAGCAGTTTATTGAGCTAATACTTTGAGAGCAAATACCTTACAACCACTATTAAACTTGACATGTATGATTTATAGCTATTTATTCAATTGGTAGGTGAACTATTTTACCTTGCAAAACAGGCAAAGCAAAAACACACAAATGAACAGATTTTGGCAGTGAGATACAAACAAAAAAGTGTTAATGTAGTTTTAAGCATCCCTATAGGTCTCATTAATTGGGCTTCAGCCAGCGGGTTATGAGACAAGCATGACTCTCCGTTTGTTATACCCTGCTACAATTGGTTGGTCCCAGGAGCTCTGCCCTATGGAATATTATCCTCAGACAAAAAGCCTGCTTCCCAGAAGGATTGTGTTACTTACACATCCAGACTTTGAAAAGCCTCTTGTTAACAACAGCTGTAAAGTGAGCTTGTTCTATTATATTGCTCTTTCTGGAGTTTATACTCTCCCACTTTCATTTCTGTTAGTCTAACTTTCTCAATGTTCATAGGGAAGGATCTTGAATGAATTCAAATCAAAAGACTTTGAAGTTGGATACTTAGCCTCAGAGCACACTGTGCGAATGTGGGAATTTGTGTTGTTACGTTGACGGCCCCGTGGTTCCACCGAAGGACATTTGTCATTTTGTGAGCCAAGCGATGCATACAAATCCTGTGTTTTTCTATTTTCTTCCTATAACCAAGCACTTCTAAATATTTAGAAGGCAGTATTTTGCTGATATGTCGAACATCTCTTACTTTTTTTATACTCCTTAGTTTTTCTACCTTTGAATTTGATCTCAGATAAAAGTCCTTTTTAATATTCTGTAGCAGAGAGTTACAGTGAGAATCGAGTGAGAGTCTTCGGTTGGTTAATGGTATTTAGTTGCCTGATAGAGAAATATAATTGTATTTTTTTTTATTCTGATACTCCATGATGTAATTCTGTGTAATTTCACGGTTTAGAAATGTGAATTGATATACAGACTGTGAACAGTGATGGCTGGAGATTAAACTGCTGTCTCAAACTTGATTGAAACGTGTGTTTAGTAAACCCTTTATCATACATATGATAATTTTTTCCCCCACAATCAATTTCTCCAGTCTCCTTAGCTACTTTATTATAAATAGGGTTCTTTCCTTTATTTGTTTCAAAGAGAAATGGGATCATCTATAAAGGCATGAGACCCCAGAGCCCCTCAACACAATGATGTCATATAAGGGGGTGGTGATCTAACCCAAGATGATGGGCTGTCAGCAGCTGCGCCAAGACGGACAGAATAAGGACTGAAGAAGGGCGACACGTAGAAGGGGGGGGTGCCAGAAAGCTAGGTAAGGGCAAGAGAAGACCTTCTATATAGAGAGAGAGAAAGGTAGAGAGTGACAGATAACGAGGGGAAAGAGAGCAACAGAAGACTGAATTAGAGGGCTGGCCAGACTCAGCCAAGCTGCGCGTCTCAGCACGGGACTCATGCCTATTTCCATCCCATCATCCCCCTTCATCTCTGTCACACTCTCTGTTCCCTCTCATGACATGCCATGTCCAAAGCTGAGTCAGTGAATGAATGATATTACCTTACGCTATGGGCCGGCCTACCCCAGCATGCCTCATCATGTGCCTCAAGCAACTCAGATGTAATTCGTCACTAAATTCTGCGTGGCTTTTATTTTCCTCCTCCCTCCATTCGTGTCGTCCTCTACCTTACGTTCTTGCATTCAAACGTTCTCTTTCTCTGTCGTTGTGCGCCGCTTTTGTATTTATCTGTATAGGTTGAACAGTAGCCAAAAACACTTAAATGAGTGTTGTGAAGGTGGAGGAGTTATCATTTAGCATAACATGTTCTTTTTGGAAGTTATGTTACAGTTTATTTAGCCACAATGACTTTCTGTTTACACATTACTGTTGGTGGTTTTTTTCTATTCTTTTCTAAAACACTTACACAATCAGTTTTAACGACCCAGCCTGATTCAGAAAATCACTGGTTTGAGACTAGCTAACAAATTAAGTTATATATCTAGCTGGTTTAAACTAATCTGTATATATTTTCAAGTTCCCTAACGGTACGTCCACACAGCGGCTTTGGAAAAAGCTTGTCGGCGGGCGTGTCTGAAGCTCGACCAACAACCAATCACATGAATCTCCCGCCCCTGACACACAAGCAGCGGTTTGATTGGCTAGAGCTTGTACTGGCATATGATTTGATTGGCTGACGCTTCCCTTTTGAATCCTGAGATGCCTGGAAATCTCAGCTTTGCTTCCCACAATGCAGTTCGGCGAAAAGTGAGGCAAAGTGACGTCAC